AAATCCCCTCTTAAACTACCCACATTGTAGAGCCAACCATCAATATTCAACATTTACAAGAGAAATTCGAAAATCAACAATAAACCTTGCAAAAATATATATATAACTCTAAGAAAGTCCTTACCTCAAGTTTTGAAGAAGAAAATGAGATGAAACCCTTGAAATCAACAGTGCCAAAACCTAATCTCCACCACACACAATGTAACCCTCGAGGAGTTCTTCAACTTTGATGAAGGAACTTGGGTTAAAATGTTTATGGATTTAGAGAAATCAAAGATCTAGTGAGGTTTGATGTAGGAAATGTGGAGAGAAGGAGGAGAAAAGGGTTTTTAGAGAGAGAGAGAGAGAGAGAGAGAGAGAGAGGTGTATAAAATGATATACATTTAGCCCAATGAAAGAAGAAAAAGCAAATTTTCGGACTTAGCGTCCCCCGCACGTGCAGCGTCCATTCCCGTACGTGCGGAGCGTGCCTCCCACACGTGCATCCTTTATCCCCGCATGTGTAGCCCTCTCCTTCCCGCACCTGCTGTTTCACGTGCATTTATTTCAGTATGCACCCAGGTTTTCCCTTGTTTTCCGCACGTGCAGCCTCACCTCTCGCATGTGTGGCCCTGGTCCTCCAACCTAGAATTTTCTCGGCTCAATTCCAGACATTCCGGACCCGACCTCACACCCTCCGAAACAAGTGGAATTCAACACCGAATATAAGAACAAAAATTTTGAGAAAAACTTCCGAACACAACAAGCCCAAACGATTAACAAGGTTCCAAGTCAAACCCGTCACTCTAACAAGGGCAAACCCAATGTAAACAATGAGGGAAGGGACGCACAATGTAACTGGTCATCACATAGGGCTAATTTATTAAAAAAAAAACCTCGCTAATAATGGCACTTCCCAATATAATGACCGGTGCAATTTATTATTCTTTATTTTCAAATCTATGTTTCAACTATTTAGTGCAATTTCACTTGCAACTTATTAGAGAATAATAAATCCATTAACTTGTAAATAAATAAATTATCTTCAAAGTGAAGAGAAGTATTTTTAGCTTTTATTTATTTTCATTCATTCAACTTACAAAAAGATGTAAAAATCTAAGCCAAACCAAACTAATCACAATTTATTATTAACGCTATTGAATTCAAATACTCCCTCAAATTGATCCCAAGCCACAAACTCACTCAATTTAACATCTAAAATTCAATATTGTTTGTTCACTACTAAAGATTACAAGTTTTGAGCTCAACATTTGTGGACAATCCACTAACTAATGTTTGTTGTCCACATAATGCGGTTCATATCTGTCACGACTCGAACCCGAACCCGCCCCCATGGGTTAAGGACATAATCGGCCGGTAATCCTGAAATTACCTATGGCCTCAAACCAAATTAGACATAACTCATCAGAGTAAAGGGGCCAAACGGAAGCAGAATTTAAAATTTTGTCCATAGAGCTGTGCTTACATGGCACATCATAACAAACCATACATAAAGATATTAATAACTCACATCAGACAATACAATAGCATAAATTTCTGTACAGACAACATCATTCAAGCCTAGGTCAGCCAATCAAAACTATATACAAACGTATCCAAAGTCCTCGCCAACATGACAAAATGACACAAGATAGCAAAAGAGCGAAGACGTATCTCGTATGTAAGACGCAAGGGCTGACTCCTCAAAACCTTGGTTGTTCCACACCGACTTCACTGAGGCTGGGTTTGTACCGCTCTTGGCTCACCTACATACACATGAATGAGCGTGAGCGAAAGCTCAGTGAACAATATCGAATAAAGAAGATACATTAGAACAACATACGACAAACGGCCTTGGGCCCAATTCATATTGTATCTAATATATATATAGGTATACATAGGGCAGGTGACTGCAGTTCCAAACATATCAGACGGCCTCGGGCCCAATCCATTCATGTCAAACTGGCCTTTGGCCCATTCATACTTTCATTAGTGTCAAACTGGCCTTTGGCCCATTTATACTTTCATTAGTGTTCATTCGTGTCAAACTGGCCTTTGGCCCATTCATACATTCATTAGTGTTCATTAGTGTCAAACTGGCCCTTGGCCCATTCATTCTATCTTTCATGTCAAACTGGCCTCTGGCCCATTCATTCTATCATTCATGTCGAACTGGCCTTTGGCCCATTGAGACTTTCGTATCAAACTGGCCTGTGACCCATTCATACTTTCATGTCGAACTAGCCTTTGGCCCATTCATACTTTCATGCCAAACTGGCCTCTGGCCCGTTCACACTTTTATGTCAAACTGGCCTATGGTCTATTCATACTTTCATTTAGGACAGACTGGCCTTTGGCCCATTTATTCTCTTATTCATGTCAGATTGGCCTTTGGCCCATTCATTCTCTCATCCGTGTCAAACTGGCCTTTGGCCCATTCATTCATGTCATATGGCCTCTGGTCCATTCATTTATGTCATACATGTCAAACTGGCCTTCGGCCCATTCATTCATGTCAAATTGGCCTTTGGCCCATTCATTCATGTCAAACTAGCCTTCGACCCATTCATTCAGGTCAAACTGGCCTTCGGCCCAATCACATATTCATATCAAACTATCATTCGTATCAAACTATCATTCGTATCCGTATCAGACTATCATTCGTATCAAACTATCATTCATATCCGTATCAGACTATCATTTGTATTAGACTATCATTCTTATTAGACTATCATTTGTATTAGACTATCATTTTTATTAGACTATCATTCGTATCAAACTATCATTCGTGTCAGACTATCATTCGTATTAGACGGCCTTTGGCCCAATCACATGGCATAACAAATATTTGTCCCCAATTCAATGTAACAGACTTACAAGACTTATATGAAAGTAAGCAATTGGACAAATAACATACTTCAGATATCTTTGTCAAGATATTACTCACAGTGATCGGCTGGATGATTTGCCCTAGAGCTTAACCCTACACATTCCATGAACACAATGGGTCACAAACAATTCAATCCGTCCTTAATTCACATATTCCTCTTTAGGCTTCATCCTTTTCCTTTTAACTCATTTACAATGCTTAATGCATGCCTAAGAGTACTTAAAAGTGAAAGAGAATACATGCATGTGTCTATTGACTTCAAATTCAACAAAACTAACTCAATTCATATTCTTTATCATCATTCAACTTTGGATTCACAAATTACAACATTAAACTCATAACTTCATAATCAATTGCTCACCTAGAAGCTCAATCTCCCAAATTTATGGTCAAATCTTGAGTTAGTCTTTAATTTATTCAAGCTTCTTAAGCAAATTTTCAATTGTTTCCCTCTCTCTCTCTCTCTCTAGCCGTCCCTCTCTCTTTTCTTGAGTTCAAAATCAGCCAAAATGAAGCTAAAAAGGAGAATTAGGTGTATAGTGCCCCACTTATATAATTTTCCTCAATTATAATTGCCAATATTAAATAATTGGGCACTATAGCATTAATTTAATCTAATTAATCTGATCCGAATCAATTTTCAATTAAATTTCACCGTAGGCTCTAAAAATTATGCCAATCACAATGGTGCAATCAATTTTGGTTTCTGTGGCCGATAAGGCCTTCAATTTAAATTCCAAAGCAGATAATCAAACAGATATTCCTACGATGAACAGATAGAAATTCAAAACCACATATTTTCACATAAATGACACACATAAACATATCAAACACATAATCATATTCATAATAAGGACCAATTATCATAGTACGGAACATGGTTATCACAATATCAAGACACCACTTGCCATCCAGTCATACCAATACACCACTTGCCATCTGTAGACAGCCTATTTTGACCAGTCCTAAGACTTGGACACTTTTTTTTTAACACCTCATGATGAAAATTGAAATATGTCATTTTATGAATTTCTCAGCAGAAAAATCAAATTGAAGCTTCAATCCCAAACCTCACCCATTTTGGCCAAATTATTAATTTGAAATATTTTATAATTTTATATGTGTGTACGTATTTTTAGGTGGTGTTATATAAATTGGTACATTTTAGCTATTTCGATAAATAGAACATAATATATATATATAAAAAAGAAAATAAAAAAAAATATAGAGTATGGTCAGGATATTTTTAGAGGGAAGTGAAATAAGAGATAGGGAGAATATCATTATGAAAATATTTTTGGGTGGAAGAAAAGAAAAGAGAAGATGGGTTAGAAAGATATGATTATGTTGGTGTTGCATAATACAATTATGAAGATGGGTGGGTGAAAAATGATAGATTTAAAAAAAAATATAAGATTTTGAGTGGGAATATATATGGTGAGCACCTAATATGAGAAGGACGGAGCATGCATGGTTAAGGGGAAGGTGGAGAATATTATTTTTTTTTAAAGAGAAAGCTAAGAAAGAGGAGTTTGCGGTGGAAAGATTGTTTTAAAAAAAAGTGAAATGTTAGGAATTATGAAAATTTTTTCATGAAAATGATCATGAAAGATTTGTGATTCTTAGATTACCTTGATTAGTCTGTGGTACTTTATTCTAAGTGTAATCCAAAGGTCACAAATCTTTCATAATCATTTTTATAAAAAACTTTTCATAATACCTAGCATTACTGTCAAAATAAATCTCTCTCTCACTCAATTAGAGACACATGGACGGAGAGACAAAACATTGTGGTAGGAATCTCCACCCTTCAGGGCTCAAGGCTCAGACCGATTTTTTGGTTCTACTTCTCACTCTCTCTCTCTCTCTCGGGCACTGTCTCTCTCTCTCTCAACTATTTTTTTTTTTTTGATATTAAGAAAATGCTTCTTGATACAAGGAGATGGTGAAGGTAAAACTTAGTGTGGGCTGAAACCACTCTATCACTGATCTCTCTCTCTCTCTCTAGATTTTCATACAATTTGATTGAGAAATCACACCAGCTTCTCTGATATCTCTCTCGGGCTCTCTCTCTCTCTCTAAACTGAGAGACCAAACCGATTGCTTTTCTTCAACAAAACTAGAGGCTGGCTCAAAACACAAATATACCTCTCTCTCCATCACATGCAAGCAAATCCCTTAAAACCGCCATGGACGATGCTGCTGTTGGGGGTTGAAGCAAGAAGCCATCGACCAACACCACCTCGCCGCCGCCATCCTCTTCTCCACCACCACCTGCAGCCTCATCTCTGCCGCTGACATCTCTCTCGCCTCCACCACCCGTAGCGCCAGTCGCTTCTTTGCCTCCGCTGTCGATTCCAGCTCCATCGACATCTCTCTCGCCACCAGCCAACGCGTCGTCGCCTGCCTCATCTCCACCTCCAGTGTCCTCACCACCCCTGCTCCGACTACTCCGCCACTTCACCCACCAATGGAATCCTTCGAAACGCCGACAACAGAACCTCTCACATGGTGTACCCTAACCCCATTCTATCGGCTGTCACGCCACCATTAGAGAGCTCACAGATTTTGTCTTATTTCAGAGCAGAAGGTGGTATTCTGCTGGGGTCTGTTATCGAAATACAGTGGTCATCTCGGCTTATGGGTTTGATGGTGGTTTCTGCCGGCGCTGTGTTTGTCCAACTCAGGCAACGGTGGTGGTTCTAGTTTTGTGTTCTGCATCAGTGGTCATGGTTTCAGCCGGTAGCCATGTCGAAGGCTACCCCACTGTTGCCAAGCGACAGTTTTGGAGCTATGCAGGGTTCTCCGACTTCAGAGCTGGTCCGGTTGCTGTCGCCGGGCGTTTTGATGCTGGTCGGGATTTTGTTGAAGACGGAGTGTATGGAATGATGAAGCTGTGTGTGCATGTAGGGCGCACGCATGTCAGTGCATGCATGCAGAACATGGGTTTTGCCCACCCCACATTTGTCTGCCATTTCTCTTACTTATATATATATATATTTTGTATGTATAATATTTGAGTCATGCCATTTTTTTTTTGTATATATAATTTATATGTATAATATGTGAGTCATGGGTGTTGTCTGCCATTTTTCTCAATTATACATATGTTATATGTATAATATCTGAATCATGGGTGGATATTTGAGTGGATATATTCCCGCTTGAAGTTCCCGATCAGTTTCAAATTTTGAGTGGCTTAGGTGGGGCCTCCATTGAAGATGAGTACATAGGCTGAGGTTTTTGTTTTTTGAAAAAATTATTCACAGGTCCTATTTGAAATATGTGTACACTATTTAATCTAGTAATTTTTTGAGTAGATTTAAAAATCCTACTTTTCCCCTCTCTCTCTCAGCTTTTTGCCTTACTCTTTACGTTTTCCTTTCTCTCTTTTTTTCTGCATTTTTCTCTCATCTTCTTTGCCATGGACAACGATCGGTGATCATGTCATTCTTTTTCTCTTTCTCTTTCTAATATATAATTACAGGTGACCGACGATCACCATTGATTGGGATTCACCAGTAACCACCAACCATTGAAATCAACTCGTGACTTCACCCTCACCGACGGCGAAGAAGATATATTTCCGACGAAGAAGATGAGTAGATCTACTTCGATCTGATGTAGATCTACATCAGATCTGAGTAGATCTACATCAGATTTGGCTAGATCAAAACAAAAAATAATTGCCGGAGTACAATCTTCTCTCTATATCCGCCTTTCTCCTTCAATCCATCATTTTGTTTATATTTTCTCTGCTATACACTTCTCTTTTTCTGTTCTAATGGAGAAAATTTTCAAATTCTGAACTAGTAGTTTTCAAGTGTTAGTTACAGGCGGTGAAAATTGTAAAATTTTGCAGTTTCAAATTTTTTTGGTGCTGGAATGAATCATAGTATAAAACTGTAAAATTTTACAGTTTCATAACAATCTTTAGAACTATAAAATTTTACAGTTTCATAATATGTTTTTCAGTTTGATTAATAAGGATAAATGCTTAATAAATTTTCGTTTTGAAACTGTAACATTTTATAGTTTCAAAACTTATTTTTCAGTTTGATTAATATTGGAGATTATTTGCTTAAAATTTACAAAAATTGAAAAATAGCACATGTTTTTCCCATTGTTGCTATTTTTTGTCATTTCATTTTTTTTCCTTTTAGTTTATCAATATTTAGCACATTTTACTATGTTTTTTCGCTTTAATTTCTCAATTTATTTTTTTTTCGGGCAATATTCTAGACATTCCGGTGAGTCTCTAGTGATGTTCTTAACGTCCAGTGAACATTTTGAACATTCCGGCGACTTCCATTAACGTTCTTAACACTCGGGTGATCTTTCGGCGAAACTCCGGCGACTTCCCGGCGATACTCCGGTGACTTCCCGGTGATGTTGAACATTCCGACGAGTCTCCAGCGACCGTTTGACGGAAGTCCGACGGTAGTAAGATGTAACAGTGTCTGTAAATTTAAAAAAAAAAAAAAGGATTTTTTGGTAACAATTAAAAATGTATAGGACTAATTGGTGCAAGTGTTTTGTTTGAGGATTAGCTGAGTCTTGAACTTTGTATATGGGACTTATCAATAAGTCCCTAGATTTATCGCTTTTAGGATTTGTGTATATCATAATATGTGCTGATGAGTTGCAAGTGGGTTATTGGGTCCACGGTAATTTGCTGGTGTGCAGGCCTGGATTAAAGACACATAGATCTTTGCTAGTTGATGAATGGCCTGGGGTTTAAAACTTTTGTTTTATATTTTGAGTGTTTGTGAGGATTTGATTTTATTCATCTCCCTCGGATTTGTAATATTTAAAATGTTGTAATAATTTCCCCCACCCCTTCTTTCTATATCATATTCTTTAATCGCTTTCCCTAACTGTACATATGTATATATCTGACATGCCATGCATATCCATGCTTTTATATACATGATTCATGCCTAGATCTGGCAAAATTTGCATCTTTGTGCTTTAATTGATTATTACATAATTTCATGCGCTATAGCATGTTTTGCAATGTTTCACATGTCATGTTTTAGAAGCCGAATCTTTAGAAGCATTCTTGTGAATAAATTGTTTTGTAGCTGTTCAGGGACGTCAGTAAATATATAAATTGTTATGCTTTAGCATCCCGTTTGTGTGCGTTTTTCTTACTATGTTTAACATTCTACCATGAGACTATTTTCTTATGTGATATAACTCTATGAATGCCAGTAGATGGAGGTTGTGTCGCTTAGTTTTGAATGATGTTGATTTTCATGTTTGTAAACTCAATTTATTTGGGTTGTACATCTTCAAAACTCTTTCAAAATTACATGAAATCAAATTGTTCCAAAGTGGGTGACATAGTCTATACTTGTGTGCTTCACATAGTAAATTTTAGGATTTATTAAATAATCAGAATATGAACATATAAAGAAAATAAAATTCATATCATGGTTAGTAAAGGCTGATCTTTTGATCGGGTGAGCGGGGGTGCTCAATTAATGACCTTCCCTTCTTATACCTAAGGTTCCGAACCGAGACAACTTTGGTTATGACGAGCAGTGGCCTTAGCTCGAGTCATGGGTTTCCTAATTTCCCAAAATATTAGGTGGCGACTCTGAGATCTGATGACGTAGTCTATTTGTGGCAAATATGCTTTTGTGCAATAAAATGGATTTTCGATGAAGTTGCCAAATCTGGACTCTCATCTATGTTTCACATTGCACTCGTGAGACTAGATCAAAGAGATTGAGGGAGTCTGAACTGTTTAATGCACGCGGGTACTCCTCGGGTATGTTACACCGTCCAGTCATATCAAGGTACCACTTGCAGCAAAAATTGATGAACTGTAGCAAGAGGAAATGAAATATTATAAACTGATTTATAGAAATCTAGCAATCGAAACAAAGGAAAGAAAATAATCAAAGTGGTTCATTCATATTAGTAGAGATCAGAGAAACAGGAGAGGAACAAAATAGTTTCTAACTTCAATGTGTGTTCTCATGCTTGCATTCTAATTTTGTATTGTGAAATTAGTCGAGTATAGAAATGATAAGCCAAGTGAAAAGCTTGTTAAAGTTCTAAAAAAATTGATTATTACCTGAACTAGCTGACGTCAAAAATCCATATCGAACAAGACTTTTTGTTGAACTCATTCCATTTCTAATTTTGTATTTCTACCTTCGTGGAGAAAAAAAATACAACAATAATCTCACCTAGTTAACTACATGAACAATTTAATACAATTGAATAGATAGGGAAAATAAGAAGAAATTCTCTCACCCACTCCTCATTATTCCAACAAAGTATCAATAACTGTAAGGAAGCAGTTCATATGTGATATTCAGATGGGTAATATGACCTATAACATTGCAAAGATAAGTAAATAATTTCGCTCAAACCAAAATTCGGCTCTAACTCCCAAATCGAGAACCCGATTCGAGTCCCGGCTTCTTCCATAAGCCTCTCATGCCTAGGCAGTCGTGTGTGCCAAGTTTCATGCTAATCTGATGCCGTTTGGTGATTTTAGGGTGTCAACACTCTGCAGCTCCCCTTTCTACAATAGCTTGAATAGATAATTTCAAAAAAAAAAGAAGACGGAAACAGAGATTTTATCATCCATCTGAACCACCATTAGAGACAACATTTAAAGTTAAAAATCTAAAAGAAGACCACTATATGGAATTCATTCAGGTGCATGCTAGAGAGAGAAATAGTAAAACAAAATTGTACTTCATAAACGATTCTGGTTTGTGGTGGCAAAGCATTATACCTGAATGTGAAGAGAAAAAAAAATGGCAACTTAACGTGCTTACCTTGTCACCATCCTTTGTTAGTCGCAAGGAACACTCAATTAAGAGTACAATTAAATGGAAGGCCACGCCACCTTCAAACCTAACACATCAAAGAAATATATTGTCAAATAATTGAATCCAATTTTACAAAAGAAATATATGATAAATCACACTAATAAAGCTTAAGCTCACCCACATAACGCCTTTTGGAGGTAACAACATTAATACAATGATGGAGAGAGTCACATATATTTGCTAGAGCCCAAGACGCTAAAATACGCACCTATTAACATGAATTATTTACATGCATAAGATACAAATCTTAAAAAGTACAGGAATGGTAAATTTCACATTTGCACACACAAATAGATGAAACCTAAAATATTACCAAGACAAATGGATTGCGAGTGTTAATATGAGTAGCATGGATAAATTTACCAAGGATCTCTACACTATATGATTTAAATTTGTTGTAAATTTCTATCTATTTGGTAAGTACCAAACAGATTTCAACAGTTTACAATATGTCAGTATTACCTCTGATGAGTTCAGGTCATGTAATGGAAGCTTTCATATGAGAATTGAATAATTTTAGGCCTCATTTGACAAATAGATGGTTTGTTAATAGAAGAAGTATGATTGCTGTTAGACAACCAGTAAATGCATATGGCAACTGCTGGCAAAGAAACTTATTGAAATAGCCAATGTTCATTCATCACACAAACCAAATAAACTATGCGCCCTTTGGAAGAAGTAAACCAATTTGATAAACAAAACTAGAGAACTAAGCAGAATGATGTCTGATCAAATTTGGATAATCCTTGCTAGAAAACTAAGAAACTAGCTAAGGAAC